AGGAGCTTCCTGCTCCTATGATGCTGCTTGGCCTGCTGTGTTCATCCAGCTCTACACCTTGTTATCTCAGATTCTCCAGCATCTGCAGTTCCTACTATCTCTGATACGGATTTGCTACACCTTGTTTCACTGTCATAGGTTAATTTGACCTTGTAACTGACTGTTGTGAATTCCCAGGGTGGATTCCCAATGATGATGTTGATGGTAATTTGGAGACTATCATGTTTAATAAAGACAGGATTAAAACACAACAAGATATATTATCCTTCTAATGAGTTGATCACATGCTTTTGTTGGTTTACATGATTTAATTGTTAAGTATTGTGAAAAGCAGTATGCCAGCTGAAGTTGGAGTTTTATTCCTAGTTAAGCTGCAAGATCGGGTGAAATAATTTGCTTCGAAAGTTTTCAAAAAATTGATTTGCAATTTTAAAAAAAAAAAGAACTCACATATCGTACTCATCACGAAGCATCAAAAATGTGCATTTATATAGTGACTTAAATGTAATAAAAATGTCTGAATGTGTTTCTGAGCTTTCCTAAAGTATTATAACATTGGTGAATGAGATATGATCTCAACTCCAAGTTACAAACAAAACTGCCGTTTGTTTAATTTGTTTTGAAAGAAAGGTAGATATACTGGCTCATTATTTATGCAAAATATGCTTAAAATAAATGAAGAGCATTGTGATGAAATCAGCATATCCATCTCTGACACTTGGCTAGGCAAATCCACAAGGAAATGACAAATATTGTTCCTTGCATGACTAACGTCACTCTTTCAACCATTTTGCCTTGACACTTCATGTAATGTGGAAGACAAGTTGGTTGAACTAAACAGTGATGAAATGAAATAAATGAGGAACTCAACTTTCTAAGCCCATTTGATATGGTATAATCACTGTGTTGACTGTGCTATGTTTTATTTTATGTTCACGTTGTACAGGAAATAGGGATTAACAGCTTTTGGTGAAGGGCACAGTGTATGCCCCGTGTTTATCATAATGCAATATCATGTCAATCTTTGGCAGGGTTAAAGAAATATCCTTTTAAATTATAGCTTCAATTGAACAATTATTTTTCTGAAGAATATTTTAATTTAACAATTCAAATAATGTTACACCAAAACACCATTCAAATATTTTATATTCATTCAAGCGCAAATGAATGACAAAGCAAAAAAAACCTTTAAAATGTGCAATTCCTTTTCTAGTTTCTGGGTGTTCAAATACAAAAATTTTGATTTACAAGCCAGAAGTAAATTGATAATCTAAATATAACTATCTTCTAATCAGGCTGAATCTATTATTCTTTTTCAGCAAAATAAATCTGGATGTTGAATGAGCAATCATTGACAGGGTTAAAAGTCAGTTATGGGTTAAAACATTTGCCATATAGTCAATAATGAGAAGCATTTGAGAGCTAACAAACTAGGAATCCAGACTGTCAAAGTTCATAGCTAGAAACCATGCAATTAAGGACCTTGGATGAGGAATGGACAACGCCTACAAAGACTGTGGGAAGTGTAGATAAAATGGGACACATGGTTATTGTAGTATTGGAATTGTAATATGCATCCTGTAATCTGTACAAAACTTGAAGATGTTTTATAACTCCAGCAGAGTGAACTCCCCATACCAACATATAAAATAAGCAATCATTACCTGTTCTTCTGGAGTACCCTATCAATTTTTCAAGTACAAGAAACTTTTCTTCACACAATTTGTAATTTTTCTCACATTTGCATGGAGTTCAACCAGCAAATGTAATCTTATGCACTTGATTTAGAATGGTCACTCCCCCTGTGTCAGCCTATGCAATGAATGGCAGCAGTTTTTGTTTCATAAAGAATGTTACAGCTGAACCTGTCCTTATTAGCACTAGGCAAAAAATGCAAGTTTTCTCCAACAAGAATTGGAAAACAGCAATGAGGAGCAGAAACCTGTCGTATTTCCTTCCTTCCTTCTAGCCTACCTTGCTCATCCCTACCATCACCCTCCATACTCTCTCTTGCCCATGCATCCCCACATAGTCTCCAGTTGGATATAGTAGTTAAGATTTCTCTAAGTATCAGTAACATTTTTTAAGGTATGAATTTTGCAGTAACCAATGGAAAGAATTCCAAGACAGGGTTTCAAGTTTTATAATCTTTGGGCAGCAAAAGTTAAATCAATTTAACTAAACATTATTTAACATTCAACTAATATCCCAAACTCAAGAAAAGGTGCCTTTGCATTAACTAATGCAACTGAAATATGCTCTGAAGCATTTTTACTTTGTATTATATGGAATATGCTTACACTTTTTAATTCAATAGATATGTAGCACTCAAAATTAAGTCCTAAATTACTCCCAGCTTTCCGAAAGCTCACTTCTCCTTGTCCCAGCAGATTAAATCTTCCAGGATCCTTGAATATTATTCAACTCGTTCTGACTATCCCAGAACAGTTTGCATACATAGAACCTGAAAGATTTGATGGGGAGGCTTAAAATGGTGTGTAAGGAGAATAAGGAGCCAGGAATAGGCAAAGCACCAGAGTGCATGACTTCTCTCACTGGTCCCTCATGCCCTGACCAACACCCATGGACAATTTAGCCCCTATGCCAACTTAGAGGAAATATATGCCTATTCTGTCACCTCATGAACTCAGGGCCTATGCTCCGATGAAATATAATAAAGGACAAAATATTCATTCCAGACATTCCTACCTATATAAAAAAGCTCCCATGCCTGAAAGACCATTCAACAAATTTAATTCCCTTCAAGTTCTTAATCTTTTATAAAATAAACATTTGTATTCATAACACTGCATCAAAAACAACTAATCCTTTCAAAACATCTTGAAGATGCCAATCAAACTTTAAAAAATGATTTATGATCTGTAGACATCATTGGGCCAGCATTTTTACATATCACCAGCTGCCCTGAGAAAGTTGTGGTGAGCTACCTTGTTGAACTATTGCAGTCTGTTTGGTGTAGATAGATCCAAAATGTCAATAGGGAGGGAGTTCTAGAATTTTGACCTGGCAACACTAAAGGAATGATGATATATTTCCAAGTCAGGGTGGTGAGTGGCTTTGGGGAGTTTGCAAGTAGTGGTGTTCCATGTATCTGCTGATTTTGCACTTGTAGATGGAGTGATTGTTGATTTTGGAAGGTGCTGTGAAAAGAGCCTTGGTGAATTTCTGGAGTACATCTTGCAGATGGTACCCACTATTGCTACAAGAGTGTCAGTGGTACAGGAATTGAATGTTCATGGATATGGTGCAAGTCAAGCAGGCTGCTTTGTCACAGATGTTCTCAAGTTCCTTGAGTGTTGTTGGAGCTCCACTAATCCAGATGAGTATTGCATCACACCTTGTGTATAGGCTTTTGGGAATCAGGAGGTGAGTAACTCACTGCAGGATTCCTAGACTCTGTGATCCCAAGGTTGTTGATAGTTGCGGATTCAGTGACGGTTATGCCATTGAATGTCAAGGGGGATGGTTAGATTTGCCCTTGTTGGAGAAGTAATTGTCTGGTACATTGTGTAGTGCAATTTTTTTTTGTGCCATTTGTCTGCCCAAACTGGATAATGTCCATGTTTTCCTGCTTTTGTACATGGACTGCTTCAGTATTTGAGGAGTTATAATTGGTGCTGATCATTGTGCAATCATCAGTGAACATTTCCGTTTCTGACCTTATGATGGTGAGGAGCTCAACTCCAACTCTCACTGTCATAATAATAGTTTGTAGAAAACACCTGGGCATTAATAATGCTGGTTAATGACAAAAAAGATCTATTCAATCTGCTAGGAAAGATTTTTTCAACTCTCAGACACTCAGTATCACTAAATGCCTTTGCCACATTTGGGTTTTCCACATGGGGGAGACACTTTCTGCTCCACTGTCCAAAATGATTCTGCCAGATATGTGCATGTGAATTCCAGATCCAAGATCTATCAGTCTATTTGGATATGACTTTGTTGTTATATGATTCCAGGAAAATCCAGGCCTCTATCTTAGATCCTCTTCCCTTACATTGGCAATAATAAGCTTTGATGTTCTATTCTTCATTATTCCATCATATAACAGCCAACCATTAAATCATATTTTACCACCCTCAACGACTAGCAATAAATTGTGTCATGTAAAAATCTTTCACTAAACCTGAGATTTACCTTGCATTGAATCACAAATTACGTACCAATCAAATACCTGTGTCCTCGCTTGATTTATCTTTTTATCAAATCTGTATCTCTTGTAGTCTTCAACTCCATCTTTAATAGCAGTAATGGACATCACAATGATCAAGGGTAACATGGTTATCTCTTTCTGGAAAACTCCAATAGATGGGACCCAGTTCAGAAGAGCCAGGAACAGGAAGTAAATATTGGCAAACCTAGGATGTGAAAGGGCATGGAAAAACAAAATCTTTATATTTCTTCCTTAATGGAATCTTTGTCACAACATGTCTGAGAAATTGGATAACCAGTCATATCCCATTTTTAAAATGTATTCAATGACTAATCTGCATGAGGAGTGAGATATTCAACAGCATTTGATTATTTGTTAAAGGTGTCCTCTCTGGATAAGTAATTAATTGGTAGGATGAAAACTATTGAAAGAAACAAGAGTTTGCTGTACAATTTCCATGACTTTAAAATTTGCATGTCAGCATAATTTCAATGTATATGTTCAGATATCAAAAAACCCATTTCCAAAATGTAAGAAGATGGCAAAGAATTTGATCTAAAACTAGAGAAAATGAGACCATGGTGAAGTAACTCCACAGAGGCTGGTATCCCATCACCAAGTTACCCTTTATTTACATGTGCATAGTTAATGATACTGGTCCAGTTTCCTCAGAGCCAGTTCTCAGATTGGACCAGGTTAACAGCCAATCAGGGAATTCATATTCTATGAGGTCCACCTGGCTGACCTCACTACAATCACTACATTTGGAAACTAAAAACCTGAAAGACAAATTGAAAGTATTGGACATGCTGAAGAGATCAGGCAGCTTCTTGAGGACTGAAACAGAATTAAAATTTGCGGACAATAATTTTTAATCAGAATTCAGTACAAGATAGTATTCTGATGAAAGAATTGGATTTGCTGATACTTTGAACATTGGAAACCAATGCAAAGTTATTTGTACCAATAAAGTTCAATGTGATGATTGAGGTATATGTCCTGGAGTCAAATACATTTAAAATTCATTTAATCATTAAGCCTTTTTCAATTTAACTAATTGGCAACAAATATACCAGCTTAATTGAAATACTTCTCCATTACATCAAGTACTGAAAACTAAACTCTTTATACTGAGTATCAAAATCAAGAATTGTCCAAAAGTGGACAGAGTGAGAGAGAGCCAAGGAAAGCAGATGCCAAGCTGGCCTACACAGGACAGAGGAAGTACCAAGCTGGCCAATGAAGCAAAATTAGCCATTGGGTTTTCCACATGGGGGAGACACTTTCTGCTCCACTATCCAAACACATTTAAATACTTAAAAAAGCTTAGCTATGTGATTGTAATCAAGGTTTATGTTAAACACTCCTGGCAGATACCTGTGTTGTCACTAAGAATGTTGAGCCAGCTAAGCTGAGATGTTTACCTGTAAAACTGTTCAAAAATGTTCTTTGGAAGAAAGTTGATGAAGGTATACTTTGTGGTTCTTATTTTGTTGCTCAAGTAGCTTTTCATTAGCTTTTCTGAGTTTTTGGGAAACTTTCCATTATTTGGAATGATAATTCTTTGGTTGCTTGAACCAGCTGACTTTTGTGTCCTGGCTGGAGAATTCAATGATGGAGATGATAACAATGGTGTTGTTTCAGAGACACTGTAGGTTTGTTGCTGCTGGAAGCGGAATCGGATCCATTCTATAGAGTGTGCCATTGTTCCTGGATCACCTTTCCATCTTCAGTTCTATGATCTGATATTGGAATATGAGACAGAAACCATATTAGGTAAATAATATGAGATAAGAATTAACTGACATGTGAGCTCTTTAGATGCAACTGAGAACAGTAAAAGGGTCAGATTATTAACCTGATTATAATTGCAAAAACATTTCAGTAAATTCAAAAATTTCTCTGGAGTTTTGCAGAATTGAAGGGTGGCCCAACTAACCTAACATTTCAATATCATAAAATCATAGAATCTCTACGGCGTGGAAATGGACCATTTATCCCATTGAGTCCACACTAACTCTCCGAAGAGCACACCAACCAAACCCAACCCCCTACCCTATTCCTGTAATCCTGCATTTCCCATGACTAATCCACATAACCTAGGCATCCCTGGACACTGTGGGCAATTTAGCATGGCCAAATTACCTAACCAGCACATCTTTGGCCTGTGGGAGGAAACTGGAGCACCCGGAGGAAACCCATGCAGACACAGGGAGAATGTGCAAACTCCATACGGTCAGTCGCCCAAAGGTGGAATCAAACCTGGGTCCCTGGTGCTCTGAGGTAGCAGTGTCAACCAGTGAGCCATTGTGCCAGCGTTACTTCAAATTGTATGCAAGAGAATCTTGTTATTATTTTTAAAGTGTATTTGTGAAGCCCCTTAATCAAGATGGAAGATGGCATTATCAAGAATTTAATGTTGTTTCTTGCTCTTCTGATTTAGTATTTAGTACTTAACATTTTAAGGTCAGGGATTGGTGAGGAGTCAAATTTCCTGTCTCATAAATCAATTTCAAAACAATACTGCATTTTTCAATCTTAAGAACATTTTACATCTTTTGTAGTTTCCTGGACTGAAACTGAAAATGATGATTGATATGAAAAGCATAGTTTATCACTGCAGAATTGCATCTTTATAGTCCTCAGTTTACACTTCCCAGGTCCGTGTTCCGGTAAATTTTTATTTTAATCATCCTGCCAACATCATTAGGTTCCTTGCAACAAAAACAAAGTTGCTGGAAAAGCTCAGCAGGTCTGACAGCATCTGTGAAGGACAAAAACAAAGTTAACATTTCGGGTCCAGTGACACTCCCTCAGAACTAACCAGACCCGAAATGTTAACTCTGTTTTCTCCTTCACAGATGCTGCCAGACCTGCTGAGCTTTTCTAGCAACTTTGTTTTTGTTCCTGATTTACAGCATCCGCAGTTCTTTCGGTTCTTATTAGGTTCCTTACCAGACTAACCATTCACGTTGGAGTGATAAAAAGCTAGTGGAGGAACGGGGTTCAATTGAGATTTTCTGCCAAAGAGATTTCTGAATGGTAACTGGAACAGGAACCAAAAGTCTGATGATTTTCTTTCCTCGGATTCAGGGACGGTAAGGCCTATTTAAGAAGCATATTGTTACAGCCACTTATCTCAGCATAAGCCAGGATACAAATAGTCCATTTGCACACCCCATTCTTCTTTATTAATCATTGGTATTTATTATGTCCTGACCCTAAAACTATCACACAGTATTTCTATAGATAGATTATTCCCATCGTATATGGTGGGATGTTGGACATGTTTTAACTTTGATGGTTTCCTGTTTGAAAACAAGGCAAAATATCGCAAAATGTTAATTTGTCTGCTGTTCTCCCTGAAATAAAATTGACTTAAAAGGTAATTGTAGAACACTGTGAAAGGTTTCAATTTATGTAAATATATTAAATGAATGTCTGTGGAGTGGAACCAAGATCGACTTATATTAAAATGAAGTAAATTCAATTTTCAAGCTTGAATTGAATTCACAGAATCTAGTAACTGTTGAGTACTATTTTCTGACTAATTATGTGAAGCTAATTCTCTTTTATAAGCATGAATAACTTGAAGCTTTTTTCAATAAGATTGACTCTTCAGATAATCCAGGAGTCTGCAAATCGCAATATTAGAAATTAAAGAATTGTAACAGTCTGAAAAATTCATTATCGGCAAACAATTCAACATGTCTTGGACTCAGTTATATTGCAGACAGCGATAGATAATTGTATGTGGGTCACAGAGTATAAATGACCTTTTTAGATCTTGCACAAAGAATCCACACAGGAATTGATTTTTTTTGACTATCTAGGCAAGATCAGTTTCAACATTTTGCAACATCAGTATCAACTGTAGGACAACTACATACAGTTAACCATTGCATCACAAGACCCTCATGATGTCAAATTTCAGTTGCCTGTGAACATGATTGTACTATAGAGTCAATTGAGACTTCACTGTGGGCCATTTGCCACCTCAGAGGAGGCCTAAGATCATGAGTAGCTAACACCTGTTAAAGCACGACCACTTAAAACCACAGAAAAGGTTTACCAGGATTTTGCCTGATATGGGGTATTTTAGCTATGAATAAAGTTTGGATAGACTAGGCTTGTTTTCACTGGAATGCAGGAAGTTGAGGGGCAACCTGATAGAAGTTTATAAGATTGTGAATGGCTTGGATAGAGTGGAAAATATGAGGCTTTTCCCCAGTGTGCATGGTTCAGTTACTAGGGGATACAGGTTCAAAGTGCGACTAGGAGTGGGGGAATTCTAAAAGAGATATGCAAGGTAAGTTTTCCACACAAAGCATGGGAGTGCCTGGAACATGCTGCCAGAGGAGATGGTGGAAGCAGATATATTAACAGCATTTAAGAAACACCTGGACGAATGCATGGATAGGAAGGGAATGGAGCGATACGGATCCTGTAATTAAAGAGCGCTGGCTTGGGGGGGGCGAAGGGCCTGTTCTTGTGCTGTATTGTTCTTTGCTCTTTATTCTAATGGAAAGGCATTCTGACTAGATCAGTTGCTGAGTGACATTTGCAACCAATTCTTGCCTATAAAACACTCAGCTATAACGCAACATGGGGGAACCAAGATGCAAGATTCTCTGTTGCAGCACTGAAATCCTTGGTTAAGAGGCCTTGGAGGATGAGAAATGTGCTCTATCCACAAGGGACCATCAGTTCTCCCCCAAGTCCACCAAGTTCAAATAAACTCTCAGAAGACACTGAGACCAGATAACCATGGCAATCAATGAGAGCAGTCAAATCCCCAGTGTGTGGATTGGGTGCTGCAAACTAGTACAAGGCAGTGCTCAATGCAGCAAAACTTCAATAATTTAAATCAATCAAACACCTCACATGCAACATTTATAGTTTCATCTGAACCTTACATACTGAAAAGTGCAGTGTCACAGCACTGTCTCACTCTCCAATGAGTGAGGCTTTTTTTTTAACAAAGTGTATTCAAAAAATTTGATGAATAGCATTGTTTTGCCCTAAATTCACTGGTATTACATGTTTTCATTTAATGGGATAACAATTCTTAAATCAATAGAAATGAATAAATTCAAAAGAAAATTAAAGGGTAAATCTACCACTCCCATACTGTTATAGATGGGAGGTTCTGTTGGTAGAGTGGGAGATATGGCTGCAAGACAGAACTACTGATTCTCCCAACTACTTTCCACTTCAGCAAAGTCATTTTCTGGGATCATGTCACCAGTGAAACTACTGATCAAATTGATGAATACTGTGAAGAGTTCATCATTGAGAGTTAAATGTGGGTGTCAAAAGAAAATATGTGCAGTGCTGGAGTAAATTTGCTGGTTACCCCTGCACACCTGCCCACGTCAACTATATTACAGCATGGGCAAGATCATATTTGGATGAACTGAGCCATTGACATGCTCAATTGATCCTTAGTTATTTATTTAAATATGATGGCCAGGCTGTTGACTTGGCATCCAACCACCAACACAAATCCTCCAGCCCCCGACTCCAAACACTCAAACCCCCACCCTGACCTCCACTCTGTATTACGTGGATCAGCTTGGGAATGGGTGGAAAGTTCCCTGCTGAAAACATGCCCATTGGGAACACATAAAGTCCAGCCCACTATGTGGGAGATCCTTTTATATTTCTTTTGGCTAAACCAATATTTAAGACGGAGATGTTGGTGTACTGGTGATGTCAGTGAACTAGTAGTCCAGGACACCAGGCTAGTGTACTGGCACCACGAATTTAACTCCCACCTTGGTGATTGGTGATGCTTAAATTCAATAAAAGTCAGGAAATAAATGCTGGTGTAATGGTGACCATGATGGTAAAACTCCATCTGATTCACACAGGTCCTTTATGGAAGGAAATCTGTCATCCTTACCTGGTCTTGTCTCCAAGTGTCTTCATACTATTAGCAATGTGATTGACATTTAACTGCCCTTGAGAGTGAATCAATCAAATCAAGGACAAGTAGAGACTCCCACATCTCATCTAAGTATGAAGGAGGAAAAAAGTTCCAAGGATGCTAGCGAAACAGTTTTTATCTGTTGAAAACGTAGAGTAACTTTCCATTTTTGGTGAATGTTAGCTGGGGAACTGCACAACCTAGATCAAAGGAGCGAATAGGAAACCAAAAACATCAATAAGTTGGAAGATATCATGAGTTTGCATGAACTATTTGCTGAGGGAACAAAAGAGATTTTAACAAATGAAAATCCTCACAATCTCCTCCTCTGCTTCTTGAAAGCATTTATCACTTTTATATCAGGTGTCAGGGGACGGTATTAAATTACAAACTGTGTTTTTCACATTATGCTGCACTTAGAATGATATCATCATGGGGAAACTCATGGTTTAATTGGTAAAGTCACTAATGAGGTAATGCATTATAGGAGAATTAAGTTGATTTTACATTCTTATACGAAGCTGCCTCTAATGCATACTGATCTTCTGAAAATAACAAAACACAAATGTTATTTGGCAATAATAATTGACAATGCCAATACACATTAGGGAGTTGTTCTACTTCAGCAAAGTTTTTCACAAGAATGAATCAAAATGGATTTACACCTTTTCTGAACATTTTAAATTTTAAACATCTGCCATATGAATAATGTTAGAAGCCATTATTACAGACTTTAAAACTGGGCACTTAGATAGGTTCAAAGTAATCAGGTAGAGCCAACTATCCTCATACATAAATTGCAATAGTTAGCAT